TCGGTTGAAGTGTTGGACCTTGACGTTTAGTTTTCAGATGTTAGATTAAAAGGTTCTGCAAACTGTTCTCCTATTGTGTATTGTTATCACTTTAGTTTGGTTTCATGTACACTTGTTTTATTTTGGTTATTATTGTACCCGAATAATTTTTATTGAAGACCTCAATAAAAGCTTTATTGTTGCCTGGACTTTTTTTATCTGAATAGGAGTAGATAAAAAATAATTTTCATCATGCTTACCCAAAAAGAATAAAATAGTCATCATTACATGGTGCTTTACATGCAACAAAAGACATATAGCGTGCACCCATCCGCTGGTTGATTGCTAATGGACCAACAACTTTAGATGTAATTTACTTGCTCTTGGTACTTGTTGAAGAAAAAATTGTTTTAATTAAATTGTTGAATTTGGTCCCTGCATGAAAAAGAGGATGCATAATGGTGAAGCAGTGCCATTGATCATTATTTTTCAACATTCCAGTAGGAAAGCAATTGAAGAATCAGAGGATTTTCTATCTTCTATAAAACTGTTGCAGGAGTTCTATGTTTTTCTTAAAATTGACAAATGATTTTGAATACCAATCTAAAGAGTTTTTTGGAAAGGGTGTCCGGGCCAAAGCCCGACTAATCCCCGGCAAATTTGGAGGCTAAACATGGCCCCACTTAAATGTCGCCAACACTCCCCTCCCAGGGCTCGAACTTGGGTTCATGACTATGCCATGCCCAAGCCTTACCACTAGGCTGGAAGGTCTTTGACAATCTAAAGAGTTTTGCCGGCTTCATTTCATTGTAACTACTGCAAGGAGAGGGCTCTCCACCCATGAACAGTCAGCGATACCCATAAAGCTGTATAGGGTCTCATTTAGAGAAGACAGCCTTTTGTTTTTTAGGATCCCTAGACTTATAAGGTAAGGTACTCTGATGGTATTGGGCTTATATGTTATCTGAAGGATTATAGTTGTAGGGATTTGGGAAAAGCTAGGTGCTATCTCACTTTAAAGGTTTAACCATTTTAGGCAAGCTTCTAGCTGGATATATAGATGCTATGCACAAAATTCACTTATTTATATTTGATTGTGGAAGATTGCTTATCTTTATATTTTATAGTGATGAGCATGCAATAAATGTATTTACGGTTTATGAAGAGAGGAAAGTAATTTCATGTAACTAAATTCTAACACCAAGCACAAAGGGTTGAGTTGGACTGAATCAAGGTTATATGCTATGTATTTTAGTGTCAAATGACTGGGAGTTGCAGCTTTTATATTTGCGTTTATTGTTTCTGCCTTATCAGAATGCCGTAATAATATACCTTGATAAAGATGGCCAGTTTGACCCTGCATCTGCGCTGAGTTCTTACAGAAATATTTTACCTAATTACAGATATGGCAGCATGCTGATCATAACCGCACTGGCTTCCTTGGCCGTCAAGAATTCTATAATGCTCTTAAGCTTGTCACTGTGGCACAGAGTAAAAGAGAACTAACACCTGATATAGTAAAGGCGGCATTATATGGACCTGCTTCAGCTAAAATCCCTGCTCCACAGATAAATCTTGCAGCTCTTCCTGCCGCTCAACCAAATTCAATGGCTCCACGTCCTCCTACACAGCAGCCTGGAGTTGGTACTTCAATGCCTCCTCAAAATTTCGGGATAAGAGCGCAAGGGCCTCCAAATTCAATGGCTCCTTCTTTAGTGGCCCCACCTTCTGTGCAGTATTATGCATCTCAAGGAAATCAACCAATGAGGCCACCTCCTAGTGGTTCTCTTCCACCACAAGGTGTTGGGGGTCCAAATTTCCCATCAGGAGGTGGTCTTGCGGGTCCAGGACTCTCAAGCTCAAATGTCTCAGGTGATTGGCTTGGCGGCAGAGGTGCTGGGACTCCTGCAGCAACAGTGCAGGTCCCTAATAGCACAGTCACCTCTATAGCACCAAGGCCTCAAGATCCACATTCAGTCTCGTCTTTCATGACTCCTAGAGCACCAGTCAGAGGAAATGCAATTGTTTCTGACCCTATGTTTGGAGGTGATGTGTTTTCTGCTTCCCCATCTTTATCCAGACCACCATCATCCCCAATGCCTACGCATACTGCAAGCAGTGTACCTGCTTCTTCTGCCATTGTTCCTCCAACTTCTGAGCCCCAGATTCCAGCCAAGATTGACCCACTTGGTGCTTTGAATGCTTTTACAAGGCAGCCCACAGGGGCTCCGGTACAGCCAGCGGCACCCTCAGTTCCACGACCAAATCAACAGGGCCCAACTCAAAATACTACTTCATTTGGATCAGCTGGACTTTCAGTTGAGGCGAAAACTCAAGCTCCCAATCCATCTCAACCTCAGTGGCCAAAAATGACCCGGGCTGGCGTTAACAAGTATATGAAAGTTTTCATGGAAGTTGACTCCGATAGAGATGGGAAGATCACTGGTGAACAGGCGCGCAGTTTATTTTTAAGTTGGAGACTACCAAGAGGTAATAAAAATCTTACCCTAATTGTTCACTGAGCACATTCCGGAAACAAGTGTTCTTGTTATTTGTTGACTTCTCTCCTCTATTATCTTCATCTCTTAAATTTCTGTCCCACCACATGTGAGAGGGAAAAGTGGTTCTAAGAACATATTATCTGGAAAATAAAGCTCATTCCTTAGATAAGGCAAGTAACTAGACCAATAATTACTTGCCATTAAAATGAAAATCCCCAAGGATTGTCGCTTTTTTTGATCATGTCAAATATCCGATATTAACCCCTTTATCCTGAAAGAAGTGTCCTCTTTTGACTTTTGAAGTCAAACGGATCACTCTCTTCTTCAGAATTGATACTGTATATTTTGACCTTTAAGAAAAACTTTGTTAACTTTCATTATAAGACACAAGTACGGCTAACAAAAAGAAGCTTGTGCTGAAAATGTATGGTAGTTCGTATTGATTATAAATTTATCAAGTATTAGATTTTGCTGTTGAAGTCAAGAGAGGACACTCATTTTAGGACAGAGGTAGTACAAGTTGCAGCCCTGTTGAAATGTCGACAATAGTTTAAGTAGAGGTTGATTCCTTATGGTGAACTAAAATTTCCATAGTAACTTAAATAGAAATTGATTTCCTGGGGAACTTATGTGATTGTTTGGTGTATTGTTTTGTCTCCAGGGGTAAGACAAGATACCTCATGTTAACCACTTATTATCTCGGGTGTCCTTTCTTAATTGCGATTAGTAAAAGGAGTCACATGGTTATCTCGAAGAATGATCAACTCTTTGAGCTATCACATTTGACTTTTCATTCCAAGCAAACCATCATTCTCACGAAAATGCTACATAACATATGAGCTTTGAACGGATTGTGGCATCTTTTGTCCAAATCCAGCAAATTGTAGCGCTTCCTTTTCATATTTTTTCAAAGAACAATTCTTTGTTTAAAAGGACAATTCGTATATCAGGTTGGAAAATTCACTCTTTTTTTTAATTGATTCCAGTCCTTTACGTTTCACATGTGTGTTTGGGACAGAAGTCATTGAGCTTAATGGTTGCCGAAGAGAAATTCAATCAACAAGCCATATGTGCTTTCCTTTTGATTCATTTTTATGTTGCATGCTAGTACTAGAATTTGTGTGGTACTTAATGCTATCACAGAGGCATTGCCACCTCTATAATCACGGTTTTTGAGCAAATACATTGTGTTTGTCAACCTTCCTAGAAACCACCACTTAACTGCAGGAGTGACAACCATTTAGACGCCTAGGAATGCAAATAATTCTGTTTGGGCCTTTAAAGTCTGATTCAGCTCTTTTTGTGAGATGTTTGCTTTGTGCTGTAACTTCTTTCCAATAATAAATTGTATTTAACACTACAACACGAATGATGTTCTTTTTATCCTTTCACAGAAATTTTGAAACAGGTATGGGACTTGTCTGATCAAGATAATGACAGCATGCTTTCCTTGAGGGAGTTTTGCATTGCTCTCTATCTGATGGAGAGGTACAGAGAAGGGCATAATCTTCCACCGACACTTCCTAGTAACATCTTGCTGGATGAAACTCTATTGTCCCTCACCGGTCCACCCAACCCTTCTTATAGATCTGCTGGCTGGGTTGCTACTCCTGGTATTGCTTTACATTCCATTTATACATCATAATACTACATTTTCTGGTGGTCTAAGAAGGGAGCGGGGTAGGTGGTTAAATGAACTTCTAGCTCTTTATCACCCAAGCAGGAATTAGGTGGAAACATTGATGCTTCCATTAATGTATGAACTGTAATTATTTGGAAACAATGTGAACTTGAAATCAGAGATCTGATACTAATAAGGCCAGAGAGGGGGGGGGGAGGAGAGGGCGTTGGAGAGCAGTTGAGATTGGATATGGCGGCTTTAGACCTATCCGAAGGCATGACCTCAGATAAGAGTTTACATGACTAACGTAGAGACTCTGTGTTTGAGGGTTACTGTGGCTGGGGTAGAAAACAGACAACTACCTACCAGAGTTTAGGCCTGGTAACAATGACCTTTTTTGTTGACGCGGGGGGGGGGGGGGGGAGTCTGGAGTAGCTTTTGTGCGAGTTTATCCAAGTTGGGGTCTTTCGGTTTTTTCGTGTTCGGTCGATTAGATGTACCGTACTACTTCCTATGCGCTTACCATGTTGTTTACTGTATGTACCGTGTACGTGCACTTCATTATCTCTTCCAAACTTCATTTCTTGTTTTGTTTGGCTTTCTTTCTCGGGTAGCTTAAGATTCCAAAATTTTTGCAAAACATTTTTCTCAAAAAGGCGTTTTTTCAAGCCAGGGGTCTTTTCACTGAAACAACCTTTCTACCCTTTGGGTAGAGGAAAGATCTGCATACATTTGGCCCTCCCCAGACCCTACAGTGTGTTGGATTAATTGGGTTCGTTTGGTTTATTATTTCAATACAATTACCAAAATGACTAGTTTCATTGTTCCATTGATACAATTACTCAAGGAGGAACCCGTAAGATTCCTTCAAAGTTGTGAAAATTTGATGAAGACAAGTTGATTAATGCCTGCTTAAATCTTTTGCAAAGCTTAATTCAATCAGTAGATGCTAATTGAAGCACCAAGGGGAGTTTAACTCCTAGCCTGCGGATTAAGCTGCCTTAACTGATTGGAGTGGTGGGAGACGCTTAACAACTGGGCGACCTTAAGTGGAGTTTATTTATAACATTGGATATATCCATATCTTTTTCCGAATGTTATTTGACGTATCATCTTCAGGTTCTCTCCCACAGCAAGTGATGCCTGGTGCTCAACCAATGCAACATGCTGGTTTAAGGCCTCCCATGCAGGGAGCTTATCCTAGGGCTGATGGACAAATGCAGTATAATCAGAAGGGACCTGTGCCCTCCATGGATAGTTCTCATGCACATCAGCTTAGCAATGGTGATCAAAATGCATCTCACTCAAATTTTCGAGAGACAACTGAACCAGAGAAAGCGGTAAATATTTCTTCTTTCTTGATACATTTGGAACTTACCCTTTTTATTTGCTGTCAGTTTAAAATTTTGAATTTTTTATTTATTAGCTTAATTTATTCTTCTGCGGAGGGGTGGGTGTTGGTGAGGGGTCAGGAAGGCGATTGACTACTGCAGGCATTTTTTTCTGCCTCTTTTCGTCCTCAATTCTATTACCAGGCTTTGAGAAATTGTTACCCATGTTTATAGGCAACTCTTATTTTGATGTTATTCTAACAATCAGTTTAAAATTTTATCTGGTACTAGAAGTTAAATTTAGAAAGTTCTGCCCTTGGAGTATGCAGTTGATGCACTTTTAAGGGTCTTTGTGCTGTGATTATCGTTCGAATTTTAGTTGAACCATTCCCTTAGAGCTCTTATGCTTCTCACGTCTTATATGCCTTGGAATGTTCACTGTGGCTGGTTTCCATTGGTGTTGAAAGGTTGAAGATAAAAAGGTGATTCTGGATTCTAGAGAAAAGATGGCGTTCTACAGGAACAAAATGCAAGATCTTGTGAGTAGCCTTCTTCTCAATTTTTTGTCATTGTGCTTCCATATATATAATATGCTGTAAACTCCCTTAAAATTCATTGCATACAGTGATCTTGATATACATACACTATCTCCTCTCTCTCTCTCTGTCTGTTTTGCACACACGTATTTGTATTTACATAGATGGGAATGTGAGATGTGCGAGCTTCCTCAGTTACATTCATAAATACGGCATCATTTATGTTCTCGCATCCTATTTTTTACCAGGTTCTATACAAAAGCAGATGTGATAACCGCCTTAATGAGATTACGGAACGGGCTTTAGCTGATAAACGTGAGGTATTTTTTAGATTAGGCCGTGTCTTATTTCCATCTTTCAGCTTTCTTTTTTATTGTTCCTAGAAAGTTGCACCATTTTATTTCAGGCAGAGTTGCTTGCCAAGAAATATGAAGAGAAGTACAAACAGGTGGCAGAAGTGGCCTCTAAATTAACTATTGAGGAGGCATCATTCCGTGATATTCAGGTAGAATCTCCCTTCATGTTTTCTGACACAAGAAAATATTCCCGGACCTGTGAATTTACTGAAAGATCTTTATATAGTTGATACGACTACCCTCACTTAATAATAGAATGCTTTCGGTTTTTTCTACTTTGAATTTTTGGTGCTGATATACCGACCATTTTAGCATTTCTTAACACGAAATAAATGGGGCCCGGACTCACAGTCACATTACAGTACTCGTCACACCATATAGGACGTAATGAAGTTGAAAATGTTAAACTCGCCAACACATGGCATTCTGTTTTCACTTTATACTGTGATTTTAACTTGCAGTTTAGTTTAGTTTCACTTTTTTCTGATCGATGTAAAAGTACTTTATTAATTGAATTGAAATTCCTGTTGACATTCTTAGGAGAGAAAGATGGAGTTGAATCAGGCACTAGTGAAAATGGAACAGGGTGGCAGCGCTGATGGTATCCTTCAAGTAAGTTTAACTACTTTCATATGTTAACCCTCTGGCCCTTGAAAGGAGTTAATTTTAAACATATTCTTGGTCCATACATAGGTTCGTGCTGATCGTATACAATCAGATCTTGAGGAACTACTGAAGGCTTTAGCGGAACGTTGCAAGAAGCATGGAATTAATGTCAAATCAACTGCAGTTATTGAGCTTCCACAAGGTATCATCTTTCATTCCATGCCATCGTATGCATTGCTTAATCTTCCCGGTGACAATTATATCAAACCAATAAACCCAATATATCCCACTTGAAAGCAAGGTTGGGCGAGATGTATGCATATATGTTCTCTACCCCAAATGGTAGAGCCACCAGCAATTGTTCCCTAAAAAGTTGTCCTATCAGGATACCTCACTAGCAATAATCTCACAGTAGCATATTATGATAGTCCCTCCATCCCTGTATAAGGGGCTGTTTGGTCCATTTAAGTCCTGTATAGATAAAGCTGTCTGTGTGGATTATTCTGTTTGTATAGATAGGGAAGGTTTTTGTTTGGGAAGGTTTTTCATAGAAGGAAGGAGCTTCTTTTATTGGGAGGGGCAAGTTTGGGAAAAACTTGGCTTTCTGCATAAAACTCTCCCCTATTAACTTACTGAATAAGTCACTTTCTATATCATTAAGCCACTACCAAACAGCCATGTATAGCTGACCAAATAAACTGCGAGTTCCATTAAGCTCATTAAGCTGCTCACAAACAGGCCCTAAGTGTTCAATTTTCTAATGAAGTTTGTTCCAAAATAAGTGTCCACTTTCAAAAATAGATGGTTATAATTTACTAAATTTCCAATTCTACCCTTAAATTATGACGCATAAATAAGAGATGATGAGATGGGGAGACAATTTTCATCAAATGTAGTAAGGGTACAATTTTCAGCAAAAAGTGTAGTAATTATCAAGGGTAAAATTGACATTCATTTATATAGAAAGTCTAAAACTCTGCATTATAATTGTGAACATTTAATTTGGGGAGGAGGGAATGATAATACAATTTTGCCTTCTTGTTTGGCCACTTTTGTTTCTGAAGGCTGGCAACCTGGAGTTCCGGAGATATCTGCAGTGTGGGATGAGGAGTGGGATAAATTCGAAGATGAAGGTTTGGCATTCTTTCTGTTGGAGTTATTGTATATTTTCTGACCTTATTCTCTTCACTATAATTGCATTTTGCATTAAAAATAATTTGTAATGACAGGATTCTCATTTGATGTTGCGGTCCCTGCAAATGCCAAATCTACAACTCCTCAGACAGAAAATATGTCTCCTGTTGATAACTTTTCAGATTCATATTCAACTGCTGATGGGAAGTCAGAGAAGCTATTCGAGACTGAATCAGCATATGCACACAGCGAAGATGAATCAGCCAAAAGTCCGGCAAGCAGTCCCACGAGAAACAAAATATTTGAAAGTCCAACCAAGGAGGATTCTTATAGCCATTTTGGGAAGAGCTTTGATGCGGACACAGAAACTCAAAGGTAGCAAGTTGATTCGAAATTTATCGTTTAAATTAAAGAAGGTTCAATTGAGAACCTTAAATATTTTGAGAACGAGGGAACGAACTATTTCTTGAATTGTTCATGATGAATAACCCTAAAATTCTCATGAATATCATGCATTTTCATTATTCATGATGAATAATCCTGAAATATTACTAATCTTATTCATCATGAATAATCCATAAATAGTTGGTTAGCGGGTTCTCAAAATATTTCTCATTTGAACCCAACCCGTCTAAATTATTGCTTGCTTCATGGATTGTAGCTTGTGCAATAAGCATGTAACCATTACCTTGTTTGCTGAAAAGAACTAAACTTGCACAGATTATACCTCTTGTTCTCATTTTCCATTTCCTTTTGTATGAAAAACTGAGTGACATCTTTGTTTAGGAGCTTTGATGACCAAGGATGGGGTACTTTTGACAATAATGATGATGTAGATTCAGTTTGGGGAAATAACGATGCCACTAAGGTGAGATCCTTTTTTATATTTTCTCATTGCATTTAATGAATGGATGGTCGAATTTGGAGTAGAGGTCAGGTCTGAATACATCCCCAGGCCCCCGGGCCGTAACTCTGGGTGGGATATATCGGGTTAGGGGCTGTTTACCAGATTTTCTATAGAAGTTCTGTATGGATAAATTTGTCTGTGTGGATAAATTGGTGGTGTAATTTACTTTTTTATCTAAATCAACAGCCTGAATGACAGAAATGGCCGATTTACCCCTCAATATGAATTATGTGTTGTTAACTCTCGTAGGCTCGACTAATGTGGAGTCAACTCTAATAGATGCTAGTTTTTTTCTAGGATTGTAAGTGGTCAATCTGGTTCATTTTGGGACTTGTTACCGCTAATTGGTTCCAAGTTTTCCGAACTGGAACCAAACTGAATGAGTCAAGTTTTGGTTCTATTCGGTTTGGTTTATGATGTAAAGGCAAAGTTGGGGGTTCAGCTGCCCCCCATGATTTTCAAAAAACTTTCATCATAAATTTTATCTTTTATATATATAAGAGTTTAACCTCCATAGATTATAAATTTTATTTTTTTACATTATATGTTATAAATTTTATTTTTATATAAAAGCATTGTATTTATACATAAAATGCCTTGTTTTCTCATTTATTATATCTTATAGTGTTATGTTGATTAAATCCCGCCCCACATCACCAAAATTCCTGTATCGCCACTGCTCTCAAGCCCCTAAAGACGACCTTTTCATGGGATTTACGGGCCATTTGGTTTGGTTTTAGCGTAGTTCTGTCTGATCTTTTGGTTTGGTCTTTGGAGTTATACCCCTAATTTCCATCACTGCTTTATTTTTCACAGGATGCTGATCCTGAGAAACACGGAGAGAATTATTTCTTCGACTCCAGTAGCTTCACCGCAAGTCCAAGGAGAACGGATTCCCCTCAGGGCAGTAATTTCTTTCAGAAGAAGAGTCCATTTGGGTTCGATGATTCAGTCCCTGGCTCACCGGCTTCTAGAGCTGGCACCTCACCACGGTACAGTGTCGGAGGAGCGGAGAATTCTTTCTTCGATAGTTTCTCGAGGTACGACTCTTTCAGCGCTAATGAACGTGGTTCTACTTCTCCCCGGCGAGAAACCTTCACGAGATTCGATTCTATGAGCAGCACCACACAGGACAATAACTTCTCTAGGTTCGACTCAATGAGCAGCACAACACAAGACCGTAATTTTGCTAGGTTTGATTCCATGAGTAGCAGTACGGGGTTTGACCATGGCCAAGCGTACTCGTTTGACGACTCGGATCCTTTCGGGTCGAGTGGACCATTTAAGGTGTCGTCGGAGGGTCAAAGTGGGAAAAACGAATCCGACAAATGGGCATTCTAGTTTTTTGTATTGATGGGTCATGTATTTTTTTGTACTGGCTTGATAGTTTGTGTTTGTATCATTTGCTTCATCTTTAAATGCATTTCATGAAAAGTTCACAATGTTTCTTTTGATATAATTTTGACCAGAATCACCTATTTGTTTGTTGATTCTCATTATTATAAAATATTTGCCTTTTGATTTTCAGATGATTTTTATGCTTGCAATATTCATGGGTATTTTAGACATTTATCAGGCTTGACTTTTATTGAGGAGTTTTAAAGTTTAAAAGAAATGCCTATAATGCAAATGAAGTCTTAAGAAATACATAATTATTGCACCTTTTAATTACTAATGACACTTTTATCTTTCTCATAATTAAGGGTAGAATCGGAAAGTGGACACTTATTTTGGAATGGAGAGAGTACTAAATAAAATAATTATACCAGGTATAGTAATGTGTTAGTGTAAGGAGTTGTTTGGTTAGTTTTTCATTAAGCCTTATATGGATGAAGCTGTTTGTGTGGATTAATATGTCTATATAAATTGGAAATGTTTTTGTTTGAAAGAGTTTTTTACAGATGGAAGAATCCCTATTTTTTAATTGGGCAAAGACAAAGTTTGGAACAAGCTTGAATTTCCGCATAAAGCTCCCCCACCTAAAAGTTTATTGAATAAGTCATTTCTATATCATTAAGCCATTACCAAACATGTATTTATAGTTGACCGAATAAGTTGAGTCTCATTAAGCTGCTAACAAACAAACCACATAATATACACAATCTTGTATGACTTAGGGGGTGTTTGGGATTGCTTATTTAAAACAACTTATGTTTTTTTGTAAAGTGCTTATTAACTTATGTGGTATCAAACTGGAGTTTTGTAAAAAGTGTTGGATTAGCTTACAGCGGTACCAAACTGCAATAAGCTGATAAGTTGTTTTTTAGTGTTTGGCAAATTTTGCTTATATCTGTAAAATGACCAAAAAATACAGAGAGAAGATTGATGTTGTTATATGGAGAAGGGAGAAGATTGAGATCGATGTTATCTGGAGGAAAAAAGATAGGTATAAAGGGTAATAGGGTTAAAATGGTAAACTGGTAATAAGCAGTTTTTCATAAGTCAKGAYGRATTAACTTATMAAAAACTGCTTATTACCGGKTTGGCACCGGTATAAGCAGTTTTCTTTTTTCTTATCCAAACACTAGGTATTAGCTTATCACCGGTGCCAGACTGAAATAAGTCAATAAGCAGATAAAATAAGCAATCCCAAACATCCCCTTACTAAACTAGTTACACGTTCTTTTACACCCATTAAGTCATTTTGAAACACTCTCAAATTATCAAAATAAAATTAACCTAACCAAACCAAACCAAACTGTCAAATTGACTGCAGTTTAATACAACTGTGGCTTTCCAATATTTATATTTAACCATAAATTTTGCATGAACTAGTTGTTACATTTTCAAATATTTATATTTAACCACATTTATTTTAAATTTGCATGAAAATATTAAAAAGAATTCAGCAATGCATGCACCCTTTTAAAAAGGTATGACGTCATTCTCTGGAACGTTCTTACTGATCTCAAAAAGATTATAGAAATAAGTGGTCCCTGAAATCAAGCCCCACTCAGAACGACAAGAGTTGTGCGTAGTGGTTGAGGCCCAAGGGATGTGGTAGAATATCCCATCCGTAGTGGGTTCGATTCCAAGCATCCACAACAGTTATAGTCACTAAGTTTATTGTGATTGATGTCTTGCGGCTCTTGCCATCGCCATTTGCCCGGATTAGTTTCGACATAGCCCAGGACACCCTTAAAAAAAAGCTAAAAGCCATCTCTAAACCGATGACATAAACAATCAAAATCCTTTTGTTCATAGATACTATTACACAACTTATAAGATTCTTAGTTTGGTATTGATCAAAATCTGGAATCTGAACCGGAGATTTTGTTCTTTGGCCATGAATGTGTGCTTGGATTTAACTGTCTGATTACCCGTTGCTGCTCTTCATTTCCTTCTTTAATGCATCATGAGCTTTAAGAATCGATGAACGTACGTTTGCAATTTCCACAAGTGTTTCCAAGGCTGCAAACCAAACGACACAACAATTACGCTCATGGAAACATTGGATAAATGAAAGAACAAGATTTTATTGGTTTGGATGAGTTCTTCGTTTCTTTATTTTTTGAGGGTTCTCTCCCGAACTCATCCCTACATAAGGTCAGACTCTGGGGAAAACCGTAAAAAATGAAAAACTGAGGAACACCCTGGTAACCGTTCATCTGGATGCTATGCACATGTGCATACAAGTAATTTGTAAGCAATTTGTCCAGTATGCACATGTGCATACATGCATAAAACAAAAAAAAAACAGCTTAGATTACTAGTATGCACATGTCCGTACTGTCTAGATGAATGATTACCAGAGTGTTCCTCAGTTTTTCATTTTTTTTAGGTGTTCCTGTGGACCTCCCTCTCTCTCTCTCTCTCTCTCTCTCTCTCTCTATATATATATATATATATATATATATTCCTGTGGACCTCCCTCTATATACATATATATATATACATATATATATATACATATATATATATATATGTATATATATAAAGAGAGAGAGAGGCGGGTTCAGGGAAAACCACAAAACAAATGAAAAACCTTGGAACACTGCAAAAAAAATGAAAAACAAGGGAACACTGCAAAAACATGAAAATTTGAGAAACACCCGGGTAACCATTCATCTCGATAGTGAACGGTATGCACATGTGCATACACGTAAGCAATTTGTCCGATATGCATATGTGCATAAAAAACAATAAACAACTTCAATTACTTGTATGCACATGCGTGTACAATCTAGATGAATGGTTACCAGAGTGTTCTTCAGTTTTTCATTTTTTTGGGGTTAATTCTAGTCAAATAGCTTTGGGAAATTTCACCTGTTTCAAATGAAAGTTGAGAAGCCCGAAGCTTAGGAGAAACCAAAGTTCCAAACACTGATAGTACTTTCACTCGTTCTTTTTGAAGCTACATACACAAAAAACGTAAGATACTTGAAGGAAATATAATTAAGAAAGAACACTGTTTCTCTAAATAAAATAGCAACAATCTCCTTCCAATGCGGAATGAATATAGTAACCAATGATTCACTTCTCAAATCATTGTACTTGACTTTTTGATGCAAAAAAGAAGCCTGGACTTTTCAATGAATGAGCGATTATGAACAAAAAGTGTGACTACTTATGCATTTACACTACCATAATTCATGAAAATAGTTAATATCTCCACATGTATTGTTTCTTTTGTATGTTCACAAGATGAAAAAGTAGATTGCAGCACTTTCTTTTTGGTAACCTATGATTTTGGTACATAAAGATTCTCTAATGATAATACACGGCCGACAGTGAGGTAGCCAGGTGAAAGAACTGTGGAAGGTTTTAGAGTTTTAATTTGACATAAGTAATGTAGTAATTTACCAATCTTGTCCCATCTCCCTGATTTTTGTTCACCCTATTTTTAGTGAGATAAAAAATGCATTTTGTCCCACTCAGTCGATGTCTAGTCCTTGTCTAATGTCGCACCAAATGTGGGACAAGTTTTTTTTGTCCTTTCCCTTCTGTACTGCGTATCAAAAGCACCCTAAGAGGGCTATTGCTTCAGTGCAGTTTTGTAGATGGCACTCGTTGTTTAAGAGAAATATTTTAACCAAATGTCTTTAATACTTTCAACATTAGCAAAGTAGGAGACTCTTGGCACGCTAGAACAAAATCATCAACCTTTGGTAATAGTAACAGTGTGCAAGTAAATTTACCAAAAAGAAATGTTGCAACTATCATAGGAGATCACGAAAAGGGAAGTGTTGCTTTGAATGCAATGACCAGAGCATGTCTATCGTCATTACGTGAAGTTGAAACAGAACTCAGGATCACATTTATTCACTTACAGTGCTCTCTGTTTTACACAGTGGTGCATTAGTTTTAGATCCGTTGCTTTCTGGTGATGGGGTGTTAGTTTCAGATCTGTTGCTGCTTTCCGGTGAACTCTCTTGATTTTCTTAGCAAAATCGAAAAACCAAGAAATAAACTACAATAAGTAGTCTGAGCATATGAACAATAATAATGCTGAAGCCAGGAATTATAACAGACCTACAATCTATGCTTTGGAATCCTTCAGAAAGACTCCAATCATTATGGAAAAAGAAGATGCATGTAGAGTCTTCCAAATCAGAATAGTTAAGTTTGGACTTCAAAATTGTAGTGGATTCACAAGTTTTTAAAAAGAATCATTGTCATCATATTTTGTACAAGTGATACAGATAAAAAGAGCTACAAACGAGTAACAAAAATAAAATCAACTTTGTATCTGGTAAGAAAAAGATTTGGGTTTGGTTTGTAGCAGTAAAAAAATCTCTTTTTTACTGAATAAAGAAAGAGATTTTTTGCTTGTAAATTAAAGGAATGCATTAAAGGAGTGGTTTAAAATGTAGTCGGTTGATCTCCAAAAACTACACCAGTTTTCAGAAACAAAGGAAGCATCGCACTAGTGGAGTTAACTTGGAAAAACCATCGGTTTTGATATGGAACATATGACTATGCGTTGTTTCACTATATTAAACCGCTTCCACAAAGCAATATTATATCATAAAAACTGTTTACCAGAATCCCGAGGTGAAGCATGAGGCCCGAGCTTTGGACTGCTAGAATTTTCTTTTAAATGCTCATCTTCATTGTTTTCCTTCTCCAGTGGGGAGTCTTTATCGTCAGAAGATGCCCATTTGCATAAACTGAACAGCGGTGACTTCTTTACAGAGCCAGCTAAAGCAGAGAGCAAATTAGTAAACATGTCATGCTTGAAAGCTCAAGTACTCAATTCGGCCCAAACAACACACAATTCAGAAAAAAAAACTAGAAACAATAACAAGAATCTATGGATTTGGACCAACAGTATGTTACTTCCTGTGCATCACAAAAGTTGCCACAGTTTCTATTTTGGGATGTGTATTTAATTACAACGTTGCAATATTGGCATAAACTTCAAGCTAAAATTAATTGCTTCACCATTGCAATGAGCGATGAGATTTAGTTTGGTTGACAAAAGTTCAAGGTAAAATTACTTGCTTTATTTATATTACCATTACAATTTATTCATATTCTTTCCCTCTAGTGTAGAGTGTTTTAGACATTTGACTAAAATAATCAAATACTTCCACAATTATGTCAAACATTGTAATAGTTTGGGACACAGGAACTACAATCTACTTCATGTTACATATCATGTCAACTCTTGAAACATCTTGTTTTGAAGTGAAGAATTTTACATTTTTCCCTTTACTATAGCTGAACAGAGGAGGTGTTCTATTAGAACATCTAAGATCACGTTCATTTTGACAACATGCAATCTCTAGGATGACTTTAACCTTGCAAACTTTACAACCTGTCCTATCAACTCTTAATTGGCAAAGAAGTGCTTAAAATTTTATTATTAGGCACAATAGTAGAAGCAATCCCTGTTTTTTTTTACTAGTATATCTCAACAAAAAGTTCATCAACTACCTAATAAGCTAGACTAATATCAATTACATCCTATCCTCCGATTGTCATCCAAATTAACAAGATAAAGTCAAGACTGGGATTTCAATTAGTCAATAACTTGAAAGAAGGTAACTGCTTGTGAACCAAAGAATAGGCCATCAACTATTAGGCACCACAGAGAAGATGCAACTGACATCGTGTGAGAATCTAAGCATTTATATGATAGATACTTGTGTTGAGGTATGCAAGTGAAAACCATGAAAATTGAATTATCACTTCTTTTTCTAGTTTGCCTTATAATCATTGTCAAACGTTCTTTCCCCTTTTTTGTTGCCTTTGTCATGGATTGCAAATTTCACCACCCCAGCACCAGCAGATGACTTATTCGACCACCTGACAAACATTCTCAAAGAAAGGCTCCATGGCTGTGTAGGTTTTTCTAGGAATTATAAGTTTCTCCCGAGTTTCTTGGATGGCCTTGTGCCCATAGCATTCTCTTTAGGTCTCTAACTCTTATAGAAATGTCCTACATTCTGTGACCTAGAATGTTCCTTATATCCTTTTAAGGAGGTGGGCACTGCTAGAGAAAATTAGCACATTTGTAAACCATACAAAAACCAATCCAACAAATGATTCAAGAAAATCTCTAGCCATACTGGCTTCTTTCTTAGAAATATTGTGTGCTTCACTCTTCTTCCTGTAAATAAACAATCTAATCTGATAGAGCATCGTCAAAAGCAGGCAAGGTGCCAACGCTCAAGGCAATTTAGGCAAAAACACCATCCATGTGACAAGGCCAAGTCAACATCGTAGATAGTAGAAACGACAACAAGAACTAGAGAATAAAAATAGGTGATTTGGGGGGGGGGGAGAGGGTGATGAATACCATTGTCATAATCCACTTCCACCGTTGTAGCAGCAGAATGTGGTTTAAGGTTAAGCAGGGCACTGTTTACACGTGAAGCACCCATTGAATGGCGAGCACTAGCTAATTCCAGCCATCCCTGTGAATCAAATAATCAGAAGCACTTGATTCTGTCAAGAATAAATTCCATTTTGTCCAAATAGAGGCAAATCTATGTAAACAATTGGACGTATATAACCACAATTTCCATTCAATACGAAATCCATTCAATAGTATTGAAGCTTATGGTACCAATAAGATGGGAAGAGTAACATCATTTGTGAAGAAGCCTCCATTTCTAAATCGAATGGCAATCAACCGTGGGATAAGTAATCGTTATGATGGAAATTAAATTAAGAAAAAGTAAGAATGCTTGAAATAAATGGACAGATAATCCCACATCTCAACCAGTACAGGAAAAACCAACAGCACATCTTACAGTCCTATGAATTAGTACTAAAATCTAAGGGAATCAACAGGCTACAAAAAAAATAACTTCTTTTTTGAGCAAGCATGAATCATTCTTCGTATTGAATATGAATACAGTCAACCTCTTGAGCATTAGAGGCTGTACTAATGAAATTTAGTAATATATAAGCTGCCACGGTTACTCTTTACACTTTAACCATACATTCTGCCTTAGTACTTTGGTGTGTCAGGAATACTAAGTCAGCCTAGAAGTGCCGAAAGGACATGTATGAAGAACAAACAAAGATTGTTGCAAATACCAAAGGTATTCTAGTTAATTTTAGTACCGGTCTTTGGTGGATACCTTATTGGCAGTCCAGCAAGGGCCATACTGATGTGGCTTGCATCATAGAAATCATTCGGCTTGTCACATAAAGCTAGTAAATTTAAGTATTTAATATTTATACACGGCAAATACACACGCACACTCCTCACCAGAACTCCTCACCTTTGGTGAGGTTTGAACCCAATACCTCTTAGGAGGTTGGGCTCCGGTTGGGCTCTACCGGTAACATGGGTACTGCATGGCCAATGACCCTTTAGCACACATAAAGCTAGTTTTCAACAATGTATTATCCCTTTGCAATAAATACCTCACATTACCTCACAAGAGAGGTATCGATGTAAGTAGAACACCTTCATGCATTTGCGCCAAGTCACAAAAGGCAAGAAAAAAGCCTACCAGATCCCAAGAAATGTGCATTTTGGACCCTAGGCATTGAGACAAACTCAACAAAGAAGACAACTGAGGACAACTGCAGCATTACTTGGAGGGGTAAAAGTGTGTGACATATGTATTGATGGATCGATTCAAAAAGCAGGATTAGTCTGGAATGAGAAGAACAATGTGAACAAAACTATATTGAACTTGAGCTTGTGTAGCTCTACACAAAAACCTAATAAAGCCCATATTTAACCTAATTCTATCTGCTAGCCAAACCTATAACTGCTCAAAAAATTAAAAATCAAAAACGATTATTCTGTAAGTATGGCCAGCAAAATGTATTTATAGCAATTTTCAGATATTTAATGGAATCATCAAAAGAAGTGCAAATTTTTTAGAATTCAATTCAACCAATTTAGGACCTAGGTGACAAAAACGAATACGAACAACAAATTCACCTTTCACTAACAAAACTGAGTAGATCATATTATAAACGGAACAAATCAAACAATAACCTATAGTATAAACTTATCAGAACACCATGAAGATCGAATCTTGAATTCGTTTCAGAAGCGGTCATTCAGTACCTGACGAAGAGTGGAAGATAATGTTTCAATCAAAATGAGATAATTATCCACTGAATCAAGAAAAAATAGCGTGTTTTCATCTAGTCCTTCTACTTCCGTTATTGACAGTCGAGAAATTTGAGTATCTGCAGCTTCAGTTTCTTCTCCCATGGCGGCAAATCATTCCTGATTCAACTGCGCCTCTTTTTGCTCTCCCTGCACGGAAATTCAGCCCATCTGCCAAATCACGTCCCGCATCTATTAGGTTATTACAACTTAAACCCCTCTATATCTATTCATATTCAAACTCTCCCCTCTTATAAAAGTCAAAAACCGCACTCCACGTTATGTTTTCTAATTAAGGGTTAGGTTCTGTAAGAATTAGAGTTACAGTGGGAAGAGATCTTCTTTTTTAATAAATTTTAATTAAATCAACATTAATGAAAAGCATTGAATTAATTTTTTTAAAATATATTTAATATGTAGACTATATAAGATAAGACGAAACAAAAAAGAATAGTTTTATGCTTGAAATATCATGGATAAAAAGAACATAAAACAAAAAAACTATTTTTAATTTTCATGGAATAAATTTTAATATTTCTTATTCCAAAAAAAAATGTTAAAATAACAATTTTACCCTTATTATTTGTTTCCAATAGAAAACCTAATTCATCCATCGCCTGTATCCTCTTCTTCCACATTGAAACATTTAGGGGGCTGTTTAGCGGTTGCTGAATAGTTTGGTGCAGAATGGTTAAGAGGGCCAGAATGGTTAAGTGCTGAATGAAATAATGTTGTTTGGTAACTGTTCTTTGAATGACAACAAATTACCATTTTAACTCTCTATATGATTTAATACTAAATGAATATAGTTGTTTGGCAGAAAAACTATGCAAACATATAAACAAACAATAGCATAAAGTAGCATAAAGTTTGGACAATTACTAACCATAAGCAACCATAACAATTACTAAAGCGACCGTAAGCAATTACCAGCCATAAGAAACCAATACCAATTAGAGATTGTGATTGCATATGAAGACCGAACCCATGGATAGCACACTCTCATAGATAAGTCTATGGAAGCTAGGTCAGCTTTCAAGCCATGGATAACACCAAAGTGCTGGAAGGCATGCTGGCAGCCTAGTCAAATTGGATGTTGGGTGCAATGGCCACGGCCCAGCTAGTCAAATTGGCTGTAGATGGAAGGGGCAGAGGGGAACCAGGCTTTATTAGAGTTGGAATAAGTGACAAATTGGCTATAGATGCTCCAACCATGGGTGTTCACTGGGCCTACAAGCTTTAGAACAAAAAACCCTCTTGTGAGAAAACTCTACTTTCATGTTGGCTTCCTTAAGTTTTCAAAGTGCCTTCAAGTAAGTTCTTCTAACTTCAAAACTATTCTACTAAAGCAGCGGAGATGGAAGGGGGAGCAGAGGGGAACCGGGCTTGATTAGAGTTGGAATAAGTGACAATAATATTTAATGTCAAACAGCCCCTAAGTTCATCCACAATGTGATTGCAGAGGGAATAAGCATTTCAAACAGGCAACAGCCCTAAGTTCATCGACATTGTGATTGCAGAGGGAAGGAAAAAGGAGACAGAAGGGAAATACCTGAAATCGAGTGGGAGACGATGGAGAAGACGACGGAGACGATGGAGAAGACGACGGAGACGATGGAGAAGACGCTGGAGAACACGATCGAGTGGGATGATGAACGACGATCTCGCGTGGGAGGAGAGAGCGGCTGGAGACGTGTGAGGGTAATAATGGAACAAGTTAGGGGCTGTTTGTTTGGCTCTTAATCAGTAAGAGGTAAAGAGTGTTTGGCCAAAAAAATCAATCCTCTTGATGATTACATAAGTCTTTTAACCATTTTATGTTCAACCCTTCACTAAACCATTCAGATTTATTTTTTCCAAGTTTGCCCCCTCTATACAGCACGCCCTTCACATCGCCTCCCACCCCCACGATCGTTGGTCTTCGTCTTCCCCCTCCCCGATCATCGCTCTTCCGGTTGCCATCTCCGGTCGCTCTTCCGGTCGCCGTCTCCGGTCTTCCAGCAGCTCGTATTTCCTCGCTTCCTACCGTATTTCCTCGTATTTCCGTCGCCGTCTCCCCTTCAGTCATAAGGTTCCTTTTTCTTTCTTTCTTCTTCTTCATGTGTGGTGAATGATTGTCTTTGATGTAGGCTTGATCTTATTTGCAACTAATTGATGTTCAGACTTTTGGTTGATCATGATTGACCTAATTCACAGCCTTGACTGGGATTTGATAGGACAATTGTAACAGGATTATGGATTATTGATGATATAACTAGGGTTTATAGCTTAGTGATATATGTGCATTGATGATTGCTTATTAGGCAGAGGGACCAGAAGGAGATCTAGATGAAGTTACACACAGGGTTTATTTTGATGTTGAGATTGGTGGAAAGCCCATGGGTATGTTCAATTGTCTGCACTCTTTGTATATACATTGTTAAATTGGC